ATATTACAGAGTGTGTTTCACTAGGCTTACGGCATATCTCCTGTAGGTCAATTTGATTACAGTATAGGTTGAGGGGGAATGCAATCAAAAATATAATTACATTCCCTACCCAGCAAGGAATGAAGATGACATTACACAATACCTATAAATGAAACATAAAGCCAAATCAGGAGAAAAAGCACATGCAGGAAATAAGTAGTTAGCGAGAGCAATGGATTCCAGAACCATTGTATTCAAAGGAGAGCATGCAGGCGATCCGGTACGGAGTTCAACCTCATTTCCAAGCCACATGGTATTACTACTGGTGAAAATTTAATACAGATAAGATAAGAAAACTTCATTGTCATTGCCACAAAACAAGGTGTACATGAAATTTGGTTTTCTTGATGCAGTACATAAATAATACAATATGAAATAAATAATATAAAACACAAAGGATTTGTTGCACTTAAAAAATAATATACATAAAAGACTATTATACAATATACAGAACAATAACACTATATCTGAGGACTTGAGTTGGAAACATGATTTAAATTATGAACAAAATATTTCCTGCATCATGTTGTCCAAGCATTTAAAAGGACGGCATCTACCTGAGTTATTTACAACTGGGTGTGAATTATCTTCCATAATTTTCTTAACTTGGAAATGACAACACATTTATACATCTCATCGATAACATTAACATTTCTGCCTATTATTTACCTGCAATTTTCATTAATTTTTCAAGTTTCTTATTATTTACACAAGACTATTATACCAGAGTAAACAGCACTTAGGATAACACTGATAAAAATGGATAAGCACCTGTATTTACTTTGAAGGAATTCGGTTTATGAAGAGGTACAGATCTTGGTTTGACTTTCACAATATTTACAGTGTTAGCATTCAAGTTTAATTCACCATCTAATGTCGTCCCTAAGTATTTATGTTCTCTAACAGCTTCTATTGCTTCGTTGTTTATTATAATATTATTTCGTTTGCCTAGTAACGATTAAAGTTTTAGAGGAAATGTGTAGTACACCATGTTTTTTTTGTTTTTTTTTTGAGTGTAATAAAACTATTTTTTTGTATGCCCGTATATGACCTGGTTTACGATATACAGAGTAAGTCACATGCAATATATGCAGGCAATCTTGAAAATTGATGTGCATTTTATAATCTGAGCTGAACAAACAAAGGACTTTGAAAAGTCATTGGTACAAATGCATGACTTTCTGTGCGTGTTTTTGAATCCGCACAAGTCGCTGACCCCAGAGCCTCAATGCTGTTTTTGTTCTTGTTACCAAAACTTTAAAAGCGTCCAGCATCGCCAGTTTTGAACGGATGTGCAGGAAATTTTGTACTTAATAAACTAGAGGTGATTTCCAATAAACGTTCATCGATGGTTCCCCTACACCTACAAAACAAAACAGGGGTTTCAGCAAGGACTGTACATTACTGCCATTACCACAAATAGAGCACGTCGCTTGGATAGCGTGGTCAGTTAAGGATGTGTTCTAAAGAACTTAAGGTAGTGAGTTTGAATAGCGTCTTGGTATTCAATTTTTTCTCCCCAGTTTCAGGAAAGTTTATTTTTTCAATTTTAAGATATTTTAATTTTGTACAAATGAACATACTGTACTAAATAATGATTTTGTTTTAAACATCCAAATTATTGAAAAATGTCTATCTTATTAGGTCTATAATTATACCCAAAAACCCAATGTAGTAACTTGCACCTGTACCATATTTAAACGACATAGAACGGTGACCGGTCGCTCTTGTTCTGACAGCAGCAGTATTAGTCTTTGTTAGATCATTATGGATCTTTCCGGACTGACAATCAAAAATCTGACCAATCAGAACAAGACCAGATATGAATCCCCGGTGGTCTCACAAACATGTTTTACAAATGCACGTGTTTACGTACATTTTTACGATATCGTTTTGTGAGAAATTATTCTCGGGGAAGGGGTTGGCTGAATGGTCCATAACCATATAAACAGTCCTCATTGGTTTCTGGTACACTAAGCGGAGTCAGTCCATAGGGAAATCCCCTAATGTCTGTTAACACATAAGCACAAGAATTCAATCTAAAATTCTATTTTATATTGAACTTTATATATTAAACTAACTAAATAGGTCTATTTTGCACACCACCTATATTTTCAAATGTGTACGATGCAAACAGCAAATCTGCGCCCATTGACAACCTCTTGAATCCTGAGCTTTAAGGTGGTTGGCTGCTGGACACGTTCACGTGACTGTTACTTTAATTACGCCGCTAGGAAGACCGTGTCATAGGAAGATATGAGTCTGTTTAGTATGGTCATGACTATCTACAACTTTTCATTTATGATTACAGTAGGATATGAAAACTCATTCAAATTACAAACATTTTTGCATTAGGATTTTCCCGACGATGGGGCCAATGTACCTGACGTTGGGTGGGGTGATTTCCCCAACGAGAAGCTAAAGAAGAGCTATGAAAATTTAGCGATTTGAAAGGCATTTAATGAATATTAATGTTTAACAATTGACCATCAAAAAGAATGGTGCCAGATTATGCGCTTTTCCCACAGATGTGTGTGTGTGTGTGTTTGCGATGAAATTTTAGCTGTCATTTTATTTGACCTTATCAACAATGTCAAAGGGGTGGGGCTTAGCTTAACGATACATTTATGGTTCTCTTCAAATCTTTATCGGTTCATTTGATGTTTTTTCTTTTCTTTGCAGAAATGGTGAACATATCTAGGGACAGGATGAACCTGTACGAGTTCGAGAAAACATTTGATCTCCCGTATTATGTCAACTTCTTTGGCACCTACTGGCATTATGGGATATACATAAGTATTGTGTATTTGCTTACAATCTTCTCTATACAGAAGTGGATGAAAAGCAGAGCTGCGTTCAGTCTTCGCCCTCAACTATTTATGTGGAATGTGTTGTTGGCGATTTTTAGTATAGGTGGTGCACTACGGTGCTCACCCTTCCTTGTTTATGCTCTCGTATATGACAGTTTCCATGACAGTGCGTGCAATTCTGAATACTATGCTAACAACGGTTTCTGGGGTGCGGCATTTGCTTTCTCAAAAGTAGTTGAACTTGGTGATACCATATTCGTTGTTCTTCGAAAGCAAAAACTTATATTTCTGCATTGGTACCACCACATCTCTGTTATGATTTGCACGTTTATCGTGTTCGGAAACCAGAGCTCTGTAGGGTTCTGGTTTTGCGGGATGAACTACGCAGTGCATGCCATTATGTACCCGTATTATGCACTCCGTGCAGCTGGTATACGCACTCCTAGAATAATTCCGATGTGCATCACAACTATTCAACTCGTGCAAATGTTTTTAGGAATGTTTGTTGTAGGCTATGCGTGTACGATGCGGTTAACTGGTCAACGATGCGAAACAACGGATGGTCGTCTCATTTACTCATCCCTAATGTACCTTAGCTACACAATTCTGTTCGCACAGTTTTTCCACAATGCTTACCTGAAGCGAAAGGATGGACATAGTAAGAAAACCGATGGTCATGACAACATGCCTGTATCGAATGGCAAATCATCTGAGCATCATTCGAATGGAGTAAAACATCGTTCAGTTACTAATGGAGATGTGCTATCCAAATAAATGCAATCTCAAGAATAGTGATGAATGAAAATCTGTATTGTAGGCCTATTATAAATAGCGATTTTTGTTTCCATCTAAAAACATAAAACAAATATGTGTTCTTCTTGGATTCCAGGAGTATTATTCTTATATATTAGTGACTGTTATAGTTGAACTTTGTTGACCTAAGTAAAGTGCATACAGTTCCGATCACTTTGTGTGCGGTTGTTTTGGCCCAAATATTGTTTATTCACTGCTGCTAATGAGAATTGCATTAAACATGATATAGTAATAATTATTTGTTATGTAATGATAAGGATTATACTACAGTATAAGAATGTGGTATTTTCTCATATTATTAGTCACTATATATTGGTGTACCAATGTGGATACATAACTTTTAAGACCAAGTGCGTGGAGCCTAACAAAAACTAATATTGACGCAACTTCAAAGCAATGTCATTGCAAATATTAGTACCAGATGGCAGCTAACTAGAACATTTTTTTCAATAGGATCCATCCAAGTAACAGTCATGTTTTTCTCTCGTGGCATAAACTTTAAAGTTTAAATGAGACCAAACACAACCGTCTGTGTGACACTAAACAGTAACTTAAGTACGCCATCCGACCTGACAGTTGGTACATCCATTCATAAGCAGAACTTCAATCATCAAGTAATCAGCAAAGGAGGAGACAACTTATTAAAGAGCTAAACCCTAGGCACTATATAGAGCAGTCACTCGGTCAACAGTAAGCGAGTCTAGAACCAATATTTGAGGCTGTATCACAGGATGAAAACAGGGTTTAATCATCAACAGGCATATGAAGATGAATAACAACCAGAAGTATTATATAAATATGCAGTGGTGGCACCAGCCAGCCAGGGCCCCCGTTGGGGAGAAAAAAAATTATATGTATTTTCTACATATTAGCAGACTACTGTATCTATCTATAAAATTGACTAAATAAGCATTTGATATGACTAAATAAGCATTTGATACCCCTAAATTGTCAAATTTTTTCAGGGACTTCAACCCCCCCTCCCCAACCCGTCGGTAATTTTGTTTTTGTTGTACTGGCTGAAAGGAATAAAATAAAATAAAAACTCTGACGCATGTGCACACAGTACACATCAAGTGAATTTTTCTCAATTAGTCCTATATATTTATCCTAGTGAGTATTTGGTTTCTTTGTCAAATAACCTTATTTTTTTCAAAAATTGCTAGTACCATACCATAGTAGATAATAAATCAGTATAAAAGTACTGGTGCTTGTGACATAGGCAGGATATTAGAATTACATCATTCAGGGGTTGTTATAGTCTTTATACAGTATTATCATTACTGTAGCGTAATTTATTCAAATCCTACAATAGACCTTTCCGCTAAACCCTGCACTTGGCTATTGTTGCTTTTATGTTTTGTTTTGTGAGACAAACGCATATTCTAGAGGCTGTTCTCATTGGTCAATCAAGGAAGTATTTTATACCTCCTCCTTGGGTCAATTGTCCATTTTGACTAGACACTCCAGTATCGCCAATTATATTACTTTACCAAACCCAATTCCATTTGTGGTCTAACTAACCAGTCTAACAAAATCCCCAGCATTTTTTGCAAACACAAACAATGGATGACCTAATTATGACACTAAATGCCTGCTTGTGTGATCTATCTTGCCGTTTAACGGCTGAATTAATTTAAATTTCAATACAGTATACTGTATTCATAATTTCTTCTGTATATTACATGTCACTGTTTTAATTGTTAGTTGTCAGACACTCCCTGTATTGTAGTCTCAAGTTTGTTAACGTTGATGTATGTGATCTAATTACGGTCCTATATTTTTATAGTGTCATTCGATACAGTAATTCGATCAAGTAATTTGAACAATTTTTATGTTTATGACCAAACTGTCTAACATGTTTACAGGTACCGAGACTTCCAGGGTTGTACATCGGGAATTATCACATTACTGTATTATGCAATGCAATGCAATTCAATACGTTGATTATGAATATGTATTCACAATTCACTTAATCTTGAGCATCTTGATTTAGAATCACTGATTTTAGAGTGATGGCTTATGATTAATATTGTATTCGTGATATATGTTCTTAAGTTATCCACAAGATTAATGTTGAAAGTATGTGTGGATCAGGATATACTGTATTGCATAGAGGTGTTTTGAGTAGGTCTATGCATTCATTGATGTTGGTTTCCATAAAATTGCTACATGCTATCACTGACAGCTTTCCAAGACGCTGATTTGTCGGCCGAATCAGGAGCCGATTGCAATATAGGGATTGCAGTTAATCTGAAAATGCTGTATCGACAGTGTAGTGCTTTTATGGAAATCATGCCTTAGTTTTTCATGTACTCATGCACAAGTATTCGATTCAGAAAGAATAGCACCATTGATAATCTGAATGTATATTATATACTTATATATTATTATTATTATTATTATTATTATTATTATTATTGTTATTATTATTTTTATTATTGTGTACAGGTCTCCTTCCAATTAAAGACCACAGTTAGGATTGGGATTTCCATGGTCTTTAGCAGCTTTGGTCTCTAATTGAAATAATAAAGATCATACCATATTCAAATAAACGCCCTGGGCGTTTATTGTTGAGAAGGGTTTTTGAGGGAGGCATTTATTCAAATAAATATGGTGTGTATTTAAGGCCACAGAAAAGTTGTCTTTAATTGGAGATTGTCTTTAATTGGAGAGGTCTTTTTTTTTAGAGAGTCTCCTGTAATAGTATTAATTATTTTAATAGTAATAATATTACTGTATTATTATTAGGTATTAATTTTAACATGATCATTATATTCGAAACAACGATCAAATGTTTATAGTACTTATTTTTACTTTATAACAAATTTTAATACGGTGTGTTTATATTATTTATCTTTGGGGACCGGTTTACCAGCTACCTTGAATAATTACAGTAGAAATTAAGATTTATTTATAGAGACCTTCAGTTAGCAATATTTATTTTGTAGAAGAACAACGTGTATGTTGAGACTAGATATGCGGGAGATGACGTTACACACTTACAGTAAAATACATTATGTCGGTTAAATAACAAATAACTATAGTCTTGCATTTTTAACACACTTTTGAATATCTAAAACTTGTTTTTCAACATAACAAATTTTCTCTTTGTAAAATAGTTCCTATAGTATTTCAGTGTATCTTGACATGCAGTGCTGTACCTAAAGATAAAAATATATATAACATTGGTACTCTTTTAAGGGAATTGTAGATCTAACACAGTCCCATCTACATCAAGAATGCTGAATAACACCGATTGTTTTATTAAAACATGCTATTACTATCTAGAGAATGGTACATTTGTATACAGGTTCCATTTTAATAGCAGTTTCCATTTTAATAGCAGTTTTATTACAGTATTATATAGACCTGCTGTATTCACTATGTTTTCTAGTATTAGGGATAAAAAAAAACAAAAACAAAAACAAACAAAAACATGAGCCGCATATAACATCATTTTTAATCCAAAGCATATAATATGCCTTGGTGAATGCACTAGAATTACTGTAGGTTTATTTGACAAACCATATGTCATTGAACAAGGTTTGTATTTCATTGATGTGAAATACATCTAGGATAAAGCCCATAAAGGGCTGAACGATCAAAAGCCTGGTTTCCATAAAATTGCTACATTGTTTTTTTCAGTGCCATCCTGGGTAGCAGTCCCCGACGCAATCAGGAAGGCCCCCTCTATTCGACCGACCAATCAGCATGACTGGAAGCAGTCGCCGATAGCGTGTAGCGAGTGTATGGAAACCATGCTTTATTTGTGATAAATAGATATTGTCTGTTGATCATAGGAACCACAAAAACCTGTATGCAAAACAACTGCATCAAATTATTACCATGGATGCCATAATTTTATGATGCACTTATGGCTTTCGGTGTTGTGTAACATCAGCTTCTTTGCATAGGCTTGTGGGCCTGTTGCTATTGTTGTCGTGTTTTAATCTTTATGAATGTTTACGTATTTCCTGGATTTGAATATATTATGGCCTAACATTGGTTCTTTACTCTTTCTAGTGGACATTTTTATGGGTGGGGTAGGCGAACAATGTTGTCACCGTTCATTGGAATAGGCATATTCACATCATGTGATTATGATGGTTCGTTGGAATTGGATGGTGGGGTGGGGCTGGCATATGCTAATCATGCCAAACTTATTATATTAATTATGCAAATTTCAAATGAAAAAAACATGTATTGTATTTTTTTTTTAAATGTTTAAAAGCCACCCTTTAAAACGCATTTTTGACCCATGGAAGGGGAAAACAAACAATATTTAGACCGAAGCTTATTACATTCAGAAATGCACATTAAATGGTTTCCTTTTGTCAGTTATTAGTCGTTTAGTGTCATTTATTATTGTGTTTTTTACTTCTTTATTCTCATCTTAGTATCTCAATTCACATAAAATACCGTACCATAAAACTTCAATAATAACACTTGTGTAACTTATTCTTTAATTGTTTTTTAGGATGTGTTACTATTAAAGTATGGGTTACTACAGTACTAGAGTAAGACTTAGGAAAGTTCAACTGTATTACTAATATTCATGTAGACACTTTAAAATAGTAAACCGACCTACCCCAGCTTTTTGCGTGGCAATTCATAGAAATAAATAGGCCTAAATGCAGTTACTTATTTACAGTATTTATTTATTTCATATATAAAAGTATATAAAAAATGTACAAAACCGGTAGCACACAGCTAAAAATGTTTGTATTACAATTAATAAGAAAAAAAAAATTTAAAACGAATCTAATAATTTAAGCTATAATAAAATACATTGCACATTTAATTAGTTTTTAAAATACTTCAATTCAGTACTGGTAAAAAAACTTGATGTAGATTTAAGTTTATGTATAAAACCAAAACACACGTCCGCCCCTCATGTCCATTGTGAAGAATGCCTAAATCGTGTTATGTATTTAGAAATATATTTAGATGATTTCAAATAAAAATAAAGTTTTATTTTTGGCCAAGTTGTGCACCTGCTGCCACAAAAAATGGAAATTTCAGAAAAAACAAAAGATTTTCCTAACTTTGATTGCACACTCGGCTGCCTTAAATCTTTAAAATATATATATATATATATATATATATATTTCTTCCTAATATATAAATTTAAAGCCAAAACCATGATTTACTAAATAAAGAACAAAATTTTATATTTATTTTTTTCACCCTTCTCTGACGATCCTTAAAAAAATAAGTTTGCCAATTAAGGTATAAAAAAAGTCTCGCCAGTCTAGGATTGTTTTATAGAGCAAGAAATGACATTTCTGGTGTTTTATTTTTTTAAGGGGGTTGGTCCCCTCCCTTTTCTACCGGAATGTAATTTCATAAGTCAAGAAGATGCCTGAAAATTGTTGAGATAAGCATAAATGACCCAGTTTTAATGAAACAACCAACAACCAAAGTCAATCATATCTTTGCCCACAAACATCTGGATTACATACGCGACTCCAGATAAATTAAGAGTCACGAATGCGGCCCCCCCCCCCACTCTACCTCTCATAAAGATTTTTGCCCTTGCTCTGGCTGCATTTATGGTGGGCTCATAACCTTCAGGACCAAAAAAGTGTCACCTCAATGTGGATGTCACCTGAATGAAATCCTATTAAGGGTGGGGGAGGGGGAGCTAAAATTGTGAAATTGACATTAGTATAATCAACAATGAGGATGTATTTTTTCATTTCAGTTTCATCTAGGCCTAATGTTTAACTTTTATTGGCTATCCTGGCATCTGTCCCTTTTGAATGATGTTTCAACTGTGTCTACTGCATTTTGTATATTGTAATTGATTTTATGATGTGATGCCGAATAAATTTGAATTGAATTTGAATTTGTAATTAAAACAATAAAAGTTCTATAAATTGTTCCATATTCCAGTGCTGACAGATATTATAATGCATTCATTATTCATTCATTTTCTTCAAACCACCACCAAGGAAGGTTGGGGCTGATGTGGTACATTGTCCATCTGTGTCAATTTTGTCGAATTTTCTTAGATGTCGCCTGAAATGAAAAAATAATTTTGAAATTTACATGCTAATTTTGCGGTAACATACACAATTATTAACTTGAGCACAGAAATTTTAAAAATGTGTACCTTGATTTTTATACTGGATAATGCATGATAAAAATAATAAAAACACTTTCAGTTATTTCTGTAAAATTAAGGGTAAACTTTTTTTTATATACACTAATTTGTATGTTCAAGTTGATAATACTTAACCTGTCCCTTATACACATCTAGACTTGTTTTAGTCCTATGCCTTTCTCAAGAAAGTCGCTAAATTGTCAGACTCCAAGGGAGTTCCCCAGGCTTCATGTGAGCGTTCTAGAAAGTCACTAAACTCCCAATTCTCCCGTCGGAAAAATCAGCCAGCCCACCCTCCCGACCTCCATGTATATTAGAAGCCTTGAAATGGGGATCGGGAGTGAGTGGAGGAGGGGAGGTGAAGATAAATTGGGGCTTAGATGATTAGGTATGAGCGCCCAGGGCCCCCATCGGGAAGAGCTCCCCCGCCGGTCAGGGAGAAAAACCACAATTCGTCGGTGAGAACAAAAAATGTATCTATGGCCCTAAGTACTTTTTACATTGGTAGACTAAAATCGATCAAATACGCCTTTGAAACTCCACAAATTGTCATATTTTCGGGGCCCCTGGAACACTTTCGAGAGCCTTTTGAGCGACGCCCGACCACGCCCACTTTTTTGTCGGGGTCCCGGTCAGGAAAATCCTGGCGCCACCCTGGAGGACTTTTTAACTATGTGACCGTGATTTGATTTTTTGTTGGGGTGGTGGTAAGTACTTAGGGGGAGGGGCTCTTCCTCTGTACGGGGCTTATTGAAATTTTAAAATTTAGCATTATTTCCATCAGTGCTAGCATAATTTGATTCTCATCGCTGGTCACACTGAATGCAACACCCGTATGTATAAATTACCCCTCTTTCTACAACTAAAACGTACTCAAACAAAACCAGTTCCTAAGTTATTTTTTTATTTACGAATACGATATTATTAATATGTTATGTGCTTATTCCTTACACGAGACATACAATGTACCAAACGGTGGGTGGGAGATAATAAGATATATTATCCATCATTCTGTAATTAACTTGAAGTTTAGCCCAGCAACTCTTCTTCTCAAAGACCGCCAACGACCCCATCGGAGAAACATTTTGTCGAATTTTCTTAGATGTCGCCTGAAATGAAAAAATAATTTTGAAATTTACATGCTAATTTTGCGGTAACATACACAATTATTAACTTGAGCACAGAAATTTTAAAAATGTGTACCTTGATTTTTATACTGGATAATGCATGATAAAAATAATAAAAACACTTTCAGTTATTTCTGTAAAATTATGGGTAAACTTTTTTTTATATACACTAATTTGTATGTTCAAGTTGATAATACTTAACAAATGAAAAAAAAGTTGATTTCAAAAATGATTTTTGATACTTTTTGTTTGTATTTTTCATGGGACAATACATCTTTGACATATAAAAGTAATTATATTACCCTTAGAGTTAGTTACACACGTGGATTACATTATGCTTTTATATTCATACATCTTCATTTTACAAAAGTATATAGGCCTATACAGTTATATACATTCATATGTACTTTCATATTCAAACAATGGATTGCGTGCTTAATTTAAATGAGTGAATTAATATTAATTTTTAATTAAAAAATAAGGTAGTTATAGAGAAAGATAATGTTCTTATAGGTAGATCTGGCCATGAATGAAACATTATTACGGTAGACAACTTTTAAAGTTAGCGCCCTCTCTAATTGCTAGACCATCACACAAACATGAGCAGCGATGTTCTTTTACGAATTTGTGATAAAATTTTCCTCACCAATATAGTAATTTGTAATGTTAATTCTAAACAGGAAATACAAATTCACATATAAAAATAACATTACTGTAATGTTGAACATGATGTGACTATAATTCTTGCAGAAGATTAACCTAAGTCGATTCGCGATCGGAAAAGTGGCAAAGGTCATCAGCACCACTGTGCGATGTCACTTATTTACGTCACTTATTGTTTTCTGGGGGAAAATGCATAGACTTTGTTGAATGTTTTGTTTTTAACTGGGGTTCTAAATAATGATTTTTATACCCTAGAATAGAAAGAATATAGAAAAATCAAATGAAACATGGGAACAAGTTAGTGACAATATCGTATCATGATTTAACCTGTTGCTTTTGCTAAAAAAAGTGCGTGAATATTAAAAACCACGTGATCACTGACTCACTTATCAGTCATGTCTGTGCAGTAAATACTGAATCCGCCTATCTAACATGGCCACCATTTGTTTTGACAATCAGTTCGATGGACTAAAGTGATGATAAATGTCTTAAATTTGACCATGTTCGCAACAAATAATCAATGATCAAAACTTTATATGTAACACGGACAATTAACAATGGAAGTTGTTGGAGAAACAGAAGCATTACAACAGTTTTTCGGTAAGTTTTCAACCACACACTACACATAAAGTGAAATCAGCGCTGTTCTGTGTTACTCTGTGGGATGTGTTGCTGGCCCTTACGTCACAGAGGGTGCATCGCTCTCATCACCAGTTTGTCTTTACCTGGCCTCTTGATCATCCTTGTTTACGCCTGGCCTAGCTAGTAATGTCAGGGTACACAGTACATATTATATTAATATAATGATGCATTATTGCAAATAAATATTGTTTAAGACTCAGAGATGTACGTCTAAATAATTATAAATAAACAACTTTGAAACAGACGTAGATTAAAGAAGATATTACTTACTTACTATGATAAAACTTTTTCAAAAAAGGTCTTACAGAGAGGAACATGATTTCCCATGGATGCTATCCTATTATGGGCCTAGTCTAGGCCTACAGTAGGCCATATATATATATGGGTTTTTTTTTAAATTCTCGTGCTGTGGCTAAACTTATTGTTGGAAGGAGTAAGTATAGTAATATTATTAATATTAGCAGACCAGTCAGTAGGCCTGGGCCTAGTTCAGGCACAGGTTTCAGTTCATGCAATTTTGGTCAACTGCCTGCCTTTGACCGACATAGCAATTGGATTGGACCTAAGCCTAACCTTGTTTCATTTCTGTGAATGAGAGTTCGGCCCTGGGTGCCTTCAAGTCCACAAGTCTCTTGTCGATGTAATACACCCATTTATTTATGCTTTTTTAATTTTATGATAGCCATAACCAACATAGGCCTAGTTTGCAAAAGTTGTTCAGAAGAACAAACATTTAAGTTTTGCCTGTTTACCCTTAGAAAACCTTGGTTGATGCAAAAATTTTACATAAAGAATGTGGTAAGTTTATGAAAATGAAATTTTACTATTTATTTATACTAATTATTGAGCATTCGAAAGACCACGACTACAACCACAAAAGTGATTGGGATGGTAACTCAACAAGACAAGAATACTGTTCAGCCAATCAGATGAAGGCTGAGATGCTGATGAAGGAAGGCCAAAACCCATCAATCTATAGCATACCAGCTTTGTCGGTTTTCGTCTAACACTATGCTAATGATATTCAATTATGATTCCGGGATTGCGCCAGAGAGGAGACGAATGGCGACTTCCTGAAGATATTGCATTGTTTTGCCATTTAAATTTATCATTACTATACAGTATTTAATCAAAATAAAAATAGTTGTATAGCCTGTATTTTATATGCAGATTTAAGATTCATTTTTGTATGATACAAGCACTCAACCGTGAGGAAAAGGCGCTGTATAAATTACCATTATTATTATTATTAAATTGTTAATTTTTAGGTTTGTATCAATTTATTATCTGTGTTGAATAGCGTTTTATGCACTGCATCACCTTTTCTGTATTCCATACGTTGTTGTCAACAGTTAATTTATGCCCTCAATGATGTTTGAAGCCATTCCAACCTAATAAATGTATCTGAATTGGCTTTTTATGTACCTTCGCATCTTTGTGGTCCAATCATGACCACTTCATACGAAGTGCGATTGATTTTATTCCTCCATGATGTGTCAGAGTATATTAAATAGTTCACGACAGTTTTTCAAGATGCCAGGCTTGAATAATTACTACATTTAATTAAAACCAGAGCGACCGCTCACTGGTCCGCGCATTTCTCACACTTAAACACGGATACAGGCGCAAGTTATTATATTGGGTTTTTGGAAGAGCTAATAGGATAGAAATGTTTAAATAATTAAGAATGTTAATTTGTACCAAAAAAAAATTATTTAGAATGGTCATTTTGTACAAAATTAAAATATCTTTAAAAAAAAAAATGTCTTAAAATTGAAAAAAAAAAAAAAATGAATACCTAGACGGGATTCACACTCACAACCTTTGGTTCTTTAGAACGCCATCCATGCAACATGCCCTACTAGTGGTAATGGCAGTAATGTACAGTCTTGCTCAAACTACTGTTTTGTTTTCTTGGTGTTGGGGGAACCCTAGGGTCTAACATAAAAAAAGGGCGATGAACGGTTGTTGGAAATCACCTCTAGTTTACGTGTACAGAATTTCCTGCACGTCCGTTCAAAACTGGCGACGCTGAACGCTTTTAAATTTTTCGGCAACAAGAGCAAAAACAAGAGGTTCTGGGGTCAGCGTCTTGCGCGGACCTAATACAAGATTTACAGTTGCAAAAGAAGAGTTAAAATAATAATTTCTCTACTGTACTAAAGCTCCTTTATTGACAGTTTCTAGTTGGTAACTTTTAAGAGAAATATGCTGAGTCATCTGAATTTTTACTAAAATGGGAAACTATCATCATCATCATGAATTCTTTGTCATTTAGTCAGTTTAAAAAAGGAACTTCCACCAGTTGACTATATTAGGCACTGGTAGTACATTACCATTGTTAAGCTTGTTAAATTTTGGGAGGTTCATTGAATTGATTTGGATATAGAATCAATCCTACACACAACATTGGGCCAATATTTTTAGGATGGGATTAATATATTCAGAGAACCAACCCCTTTTTCATTAATAATTACTAATTGTTTTTCAAATTTTCATGATATTATTTCATTAATTTTATAAATATAAAATGAAATACAGTATTCATTTATTTATAAACTAAAGTCACGATTACATTTAAAAACACTCTGCAAATACCTCTTCTACTGAAGGTTGTTTAATATACAAAAGCATGTATTATCCAAATTCAGTAAAATGCAATTAATTGCAATAGAAGGAAGACCAACGATGAGAGCATTATTTTGATAACTATTCTTTTCAGCAAGGCTTTCCAATCATATTGTTATTAAGAAATACATTTCCTATCCTGGTGAAATATCCTGGTTTTGTTTTTTTTAGGTATCGATTAAGTCCACCTGTTACAGTTGTTGAATTCCATTTAACATCCTCTTATGAGAGACTTAACCTGCCAAAAGCCAAACATCGTTATGGAATTTTTGGGCTCTGAGTTACTTGATACTTATGGTACTACAGTATCTTCTGAATTGTCTGATAAAAAATCTTGATTGAGCAATTAATTACTTTTACATTGGAAATTAAACCAACAGTTTTGAGTATATAGTAGACATTACTAATGCTATTGTATTTCTGTTGTAAAAAACCAATCATTTTGGGTTGGAGGATTTGAGTATCTGATTGTTGGTAGCCACTGGTCAATTAATGTTATTTATGGTAGCAGGCAATACCAAGTTGACATGGGGCCAGTTCGAGCGAAAAAATATCCATGCGATTTACCAGTTAATTCACCGGTACACACTTTCTAAAACCGCTTGGACACTAATTACCTTACTATCTGGATTATCCGAGACAATTTTGACCACCAAATTGCTGGGTAGAATACCGTGTATGGAATGACCATGGAGCCAGAGGCGATGATAAATCAACCTTAATTGTTTTTCCAAATGTTTTGTCCACAGCCCAGCGCGAAATTCAATAGCTTACGGCCCAGGCTTGGTTGCAGCTCTCCTTTGCCTCCTCACACATGCACGACGAAATCTAAATTTGTTAGCATAGCTACGCGATCGATTTGTAGATTTACCATTATTCAGAGAAATAAACATGAATAAACTAGCCTATGTACAGATTTTAAAGCAGCCATTATAAGTTATTGAGCTACATTATCCTTCCACCGTGCTGCGCTGTGTGTACGTGGGCCGGTTATAGCAAGGAGGTATACAATACCTCCTTGGTTATAGCAGCAGTAGCAAGTAAACAAAGAATGGGTTGTTGACCATGGGATGATTTGAAATTTACTTCCGGTGTAGTTTCGTTAAACGTATTTACCGTGAGCTAAAAATTGCTCGAACGGTCGACCACCCGCTGAGTGCTCAGCGCGATTACCCGGTGAAATAAACAGAAATACGGTTGGCGTTTTTTGCTCGAACGGGCCCTAGGTGGTATTTCATTGTAGGCTAGTAAGATGTTCAGGTCACCAATCTCCAGTTTCAAGACTTTTACCTAAACAAAAGTGGTATAGTTGTAGTTTTGGTAAAAATTACAAAACTTGAAAACTTTAGAGAATAAGAGGGGTGGGGGGTACATTAGCTATTATCGATATCATCATAAAATTATCAACATAATCATTAGCCAAACAGAATAATGAACAGCATCAGATACATAGCTCTGTCATAATAATTATTATTACAGGTATCTTTTGTTTAGATATGGATACAAATATTTGACTCTCATCACCCTTTCTTTGATTACAGGTGGCGAATTTGATGATTTAAACTTCCAGCTTCTTGAGGATTTAATTAGTAACGAACCTGAAATGTAAGTAACAATTGATTTCCAATTATTCTTTTTCCACCACATTTACCTCTGTATATCAAATAGATTATTATTTTAATTATATTACTTCTAATGTAATTATATTAATTCTGATGTAATATTACTACGCACAATAAAATTGCAATGAAAATAGAAATTGAATCGGGGATCAAAGTTATTTTAATTATATTTTTTTACAATATTTATGGAGGGTTACAATTCTAGTGTATCCTAGAAGGTCGCTGATATTCAGGGGCCTTCTCTAAATATGAAATAATGTGATGCTTTATAAACTAAGCCTCTTTATGAGGCTTAGGGAGTGGAGTTTGTTTTAAACATGAGAAAAAGTCCTGCTGTCATAGGAAAATGTGGGATGATGCCGACCGGCACTCCAAAAAGCTGGTGACATCCCTGAATGCTGTAGCCAGGATTTTCAAACTGTGTGGGACAATATATCAGGGTGGACCTACTTTACATGTAAATTCAAATAATGTGGACCCATTTTCTTAAAAATAGTCCCATTTTACACAAAAAATATGAATAATCTGGATCCATTTTCTTAAAAATTAACCCATTTCACGAAAATTATGAAAAATATGGACACATTTTCTTAAAAGTTGACCCATTTTACACAAAATATAAGAAATCTGGACCCATTGTTAAAATGTGGACCCATTCTTTGTGGACCCAATAGAAAAATTGTGTGGACTGTCCCAATAGCTGGCTACGGCATTGCCCACAAGTTGCAGGAATCTCTCAGGAAATCAGGATGACTTCCCACACTCCTGCAAGCAAGAATCTCATGGAATAAACTCCTCGCCTGCAAATTCATAATACCGGCACTTTTTTGCAGCTTTAATAATAATAATAATAATAATGTACTCTTATGTAGCGCATACAATAAAGTTACCAATTATCTAAAGGAAGCTAGTGCCGATGGATATCACTGTGTGCAGTAAAAATTTTTAAAAAAATGAAAAAGCAAATTTTTAACTAGATTTTATCCAACTTGGAACTCCTCTGACTGAACTGTACCTGTTCTCTGGTCTAAACCTATTTAATAAATGTTTTATTTTTGGTATCGATATCATCAGAAATCTTAAACCACACAAAATTCATAATGGTGGACATTGTGTAAACAATAAATATCGGGTGAGCTGCATTGTTACCATTGATAGCTACTGTGTGTGCGCGGAACCGCAAAGATTGTGGGGAGAGACTAGTTAGTTTTAATGATAATGTATTATGTATACGCTAAACGCAAGTGCTGTGTCATGGAGAACTACTGTAGGTACAGTAGCTAAAATAATGATTAAACAAGTCTCAGTAGAGCTAAATAATATTGCAACATTTACTACGCGTAAGTGTCGTAGACATAACGTAAGATTTGCGTATGCGTAGGCCACGTAGGACGTAGAATAAACAATCCTCTACATAAACCTACGCTTAGAACGTAGTTCAGCGAACGTATGTCGTATAGCTAAGATGAACGTAAGCTGAGAACCGACCTAATGTAGGGACACAGAATTGTTTATGTTTTTGTTGGTTCAGTCTACCGTTATAATTTATGAATAAACGTTGTAGTGTACAACTGAATTAAGATAAAACAGGTATCGTCTAATTGTAAGTGTCTTGTGTATTTTATTGTTCTAAAGTTTAGCTTTTACAATTTAAGATAATTATCCTAATTAATATGTTCATCTGTTGGTTACCTTAACAAGGCCTACGCGCTGTGCTTGTAGATAACCATGTGTAAGCCTACGCTCACTCTGTATCTTCTCGCTATCCTTCAAAACGTCTAGCTACCACATAATACTAGAATAAATTCCAGTTTTTGAAATACATATTCCTTGATCAGATGAGATAGCATATTCACAAAACTGATATAAATAGTAATACGCAAAGACACTACATTTATGGAAAAAATAAACTAGTTTTGCTGAAGCAACCTGATATACCAACAAACAACGAGCACATGGGATGGAATGTAAGTGCGTCAGAAAAAAACTTGGTCGACTGCCAAAAAAAAGCATGCAGGGCAAAAAGTTACCACTAGCATTTGCGCTTTCTAGTCAAAGCGGCAATAAGTCGAAACGGCAATTACCAAACCGGCTACACTTTTTTTTTTATTACTGTAGCACAGCAATGGACCAAAACGGCAAGAAACCAAATAAATAAATAAATACAAATTAAAAATACAGACAAAATGAGGATTTAATAATAATAATTATTATTATTAATTATTATTATATTTTACGTGTTACTGTATGTATTACTAAATACCAGCAATCCATAAGGAAGATTCAAGCCGATCTAGAGGCAGTGTGAAGTTGGCCCTCATCCAAACAACAAATCATGCGCCACTAATCTAGGTGAAAGGTTAATACATGTGCAAGTTTAGGTAAATAAAAGCTGAAAGTTTAAATCGCCTTTGTGCTAGCGTGATAAGAAACCATTCAACCGAACAGAGTGCTACTCTGACTCTTGAAAAATGAGACGGTATGGAGCACGTGGTTTGTTCCCAACTGTAAACATCGACCGCATTACTGGTATAATGACAAAGAAATTATTACACCGTGGTTTTAAAAGTCTTAATAAAAATATAAAAGACGAACCAAAACGAGCCGTGGTTTTATCTTTTTGAGAAAGATTAAATGAATTAGATAGTAAGAAATTTAAATAATCAAAATATTAATAATAGATGAATACAACGTTACGACTGAGTCCGACGAGAATTGGTAGTAAACTACATTTTCTCGTGTATGAAGACATGGACTATCTAGGCTGCAGTCCTACATAAAAAAATGTTTGTCGCATTTTCTTCTTGTCACTTTCTGATTTAGCAACTCAGCTATACATTGATTGCAGTATTTTAGATAGTCATGTCTGTAGAATACGAAAGATAATTTAATCTTGACTAGGCCTATATAGGGCCGTAGTTGAATTTTAGGATTGCAGAACAGGCACAACATAGCCATGTATCATGCAATAATAGGCTTAGGCTCCCAATCGAGTAGGGAAGCAGATTTTCATCCTATATTATCTGCCGGTTCTAGGTATGCGCCAATGCTGTTACATACACTGCTGTGGCAACATACAAGCTAAGAGTAAGTACAAGGCTGTCTAAAACTACATCGAGAAAAGTTTGACTTTATTTTCGTGAGTAATTACTAATTTTAAGGAAGGTGTACGCCTTGGCCTATGATTATTTGCTGTTTATGATGAACGTTATTCTAGATAAACGTTCGATAGACCTCATTCTGTTCTACGTTCTACGCATTGTACACACTTATTGACTATGTTATAAACTGTTCTACGTTCTAAATTAACGGTGTTCTACGTTCTACATTCTATGTTTATCTACGATTATGTTTTTGTTACGCGTATCTTACGAGTATACTACGAAGATTACGCGTGGTACGGAGGCAGTAATTCACGTCTGTACTGTAGAGTAGAATATTATATTATCTCCCAAGTTACAAAACATTCATGACTATGTATTTGAACTCACGATGCAGAAATGTTAAAACCGAAATGTTAAATACTAATTGAAAACAATCGCATAGAGACATAGTATTTTTGCGCTTCAAAAACATCCATTAACTATTGATAGTCAGTAATTTATGATGACGGAAAACATGATTTTTATCAATAACATATAGTAGAGGAATGTTCGATTAAGGCCCACGAATGTGTTTATCTTGTAATCATGCAGTGAGGACTTAACATAATTATCTGAGCAAATAGACAATCTCACCTCATACTTGTTCAACAGGTGAATGACTTTCAACAATTTTGTTGTGTTTAGTACCTTGCATGACCTTCATAAGTGACCCTAGCTCACAAGGCTTTAAGATACTGCAACCTAAATCAAATAAATATTAAATAATTTGAAAATTGCAAATTGCTTAATTTGTGTACTTTATTGTAAGTTATTGTCTTTCATCTAAAAATATGAGCTACTGTAGTAAATTTTGTTCTCGCATTACAGAAATAATGATAATGTAAATTTGCTGTGCTCACAGTACATTTATTTTTACCCACTGGGACCTCCAGCATTCACGGGGCAGTGCTACCAACATACTGACCTTTGCCTTTTCTGGCATGAGGGTTTAAGGGACCTAAGCGATCAGACAAAACCCAAATCTGGTCAGGTTTGAACTGAGGGTCTTCAGCGTAAAGAGCAGGAACAATACAGTACATCTCTGCTAACCTCTTAGCTCAAATAATGTCATACTTTATAAATTAGACTTATATACGCTTAAATCAGACATTTATAGATGGCGAGTATAGACTGCCTTAGCTCCACCATGGTTGGGGCTGAAGTATGAACATTTATGATTATGATACATCTAAATGACTGGAAATGGCACTCAGACCTAAATTGGATCAACATTTTCTCTTTTCTCCATTTTTAAAATAATTTAAAAAAATTTAGGGGAGTCGCGCCGGCTTCCCTCCCCCCTCCCCCCTTGAATCTACCAGTGTAAATATACAGAATAACATTCTTTTACTGCACTAATGGCAACAGAAATATTTATATCTACTTTGTGCATACATACCCTTGATTTGTACGGTTCACTCGCTATCTTTTTTTTGTTAAACAATTTTAAAAGCAACTGATAAAAATTGATGTGATAATACTTTGGAAATACGCCAAAAAAATAAATAAAGTTTCTCATCCCTGCTCGCTTCCTTTTTTGCGCCCGCCTCATTTTTTTGTTCATTGAAATTTTTTTTAATAATAAAAAAAAATTCCAGGCATTGCGACCGTCTTAATTGTTAAAATAGCAAGGTGATTTTAAAATCCCCCCTTTGGCCTGCATACATATTCACTGCTAACTCCCAAACATAGAGGGGCATTGCCCTTTGGGCAGTCATACCAGGGAGTAGACTGCTAAGGTTTTCATGTATGTTTTGTACTTGTCTAATAATACATACATACATGTACATACATGATAGGATAAATAAAAAAGATTTTTTCTTGCAATAGAACTCTCCCAGACATTAATGAGCAAACAGTGGGATATTCACAAAATGGACATGTACAGGTACCCACAAGCAATTTTACGCAACAACAGCAACAATCTCAACAGCTTCAAACAACAGCAACCACGACAGCAGGTAGACCAACCTACGAGTACACCAATGGAGGCTTCCATCAAGATTTCTCAGTTCCATTAAGGTAGGGGAAATGATTCTTTTAACATTATCCATGTAAACTATTTTGTGTCGATGAGATAATACAGTAATAATACCAATAAAATAATGGTATAATCCATTTCCCATTATGAACATTTTGGAATTAATTCCATACATTATTTTGAGAATACTTTCATAATTTATTTTGATATTAGTATGTTATTAATAATATGTACTACTGTATACATCTATGAGCTACTAATGTTTGGTAATTTTTTAGGCAGAATTTTCGGTTTATTAAAATTTGACGCTCGAAGGAAATTAAATTTAAAAAGGTGCTATAAATTGAATTTGGTATTACGTAAATAGTATTACTCGATAGGGTACCACATAGCTCAAGCCAATTTTTAGTCAGAGACCTAGAGCGAATCACAGGATTGCTAGATCAGGATGTTTACATATAAAGGATGATCGTAAACCTAAAATTATTTACATCAACTTGTGGGATAGCATGATGTTTTACCTTTTTTTGTATTAAAATTAAATGAAATGCTTTAAAATTATTCTAAAGAAAGGGTAGAATTTTGAAAAGGTTTGAAGGCATTGATGAAGTTGCCATTAGCTGTGAAAAGCAAAGCATTTCAAATGACAATTGTGGTCCAAGAAAATGATGATCAGAGCATGGAGGTATACCTGCAAAGTGTTCCAAATGGTAGTCAAGTTTAAAAAATGTGGTCAGTTGGTAGAAGTTTAGGCTGATAGTGAAAGAGAATAAGCATGAGCATCAACATTTCTTAGAAACAAAGATGAGTTCTGAAATAAAACATTTTTTGAAAGAATTATTTTGTAAACAAGAAAAGAAGTTGCTTCAGTACCTCAGGGGAAATATATTGACATACTGTAGATTTGTTGGGCATCATGTGATTACGACATTCTAAAAAAAATTGTCTTGAAAATGTCCTTTGCTGGCATTGTAGACAAATTATTTTAGCTAAAACGGGATTATTTTTTCAGGCGTTGGTGGTGTAACGGTACGAGCAAGTCTACTCTGGTCTATCAGGGTAATCATTTTTAATATTGAAGTTGTTTAGGATAATATTCTATAATATTCAACTGAGATCATCTTGAAATAGAACTGGAGATTCATGATCCTGAATTTAAAGATTTTTTACGAGACAACCTTAGGCAATCCGTCTTCATTGTACTGTACAGGTCTACAGATCCTACTTGGTGTAGTTCTTTTCAGTGCTCCAGACTCTTCTATGCATTGTGTTGGGACACAGCCAAGGTATCGGTGACTCACCAAATTAAATGAAAAGGAAGGCAATTTCTTTTTTCAACCTAATTAGCCCAAATCCAGAATAGTCAATTGTGTACTTTTCCATGAAGTACTGTAACTATATACTTGAAACATTTCTCTGAAATACTCTATCGTACAGGGAGACTTATTTTCATTTTAATGTTTTTAAAAAATTACTTCTGTGTACTTTTAAATCATGATGAAAATATTTCAGAACACGTTTCATGTGGACACTTGTCAGATCAGTGTGTCTAGTTTGGAATTTTATGACGAGGTATTACGCACACGTCTTGTCTAGGGTATTTAGATTACAATACATAGAACTATTGACTAATTGTAGTACCGTGTGTAGATGTATGCAGATGCTTGGGATCTCCCATTCTATTCAATCTGTCAGATTTAAATAGTAGTTTTATTTTAAAATAAATTTAATTTCTAATCCAAATATCAGCATTTTAAACAGTCTTATAATTTATATAGGATTGGCCAATGCTTTTTTTTTTCGTCTAATTTTCAGCTATTTTCATAATTTTTAATTTCTAATGTATATCATTAGCATTACTTTAGTTTTTGTAGTATAAATGTTTTATTTGTTCTATCCAAATGCAAAATATCAATTAGAAGAAGAAATTCAAATGTTATTTACATGATCAGGTACTGTAGTTAAAGCATTTTGAGTGCTATAGTACTGTACACCAGTTTGACCCTAGTGTAAGCCTGTTGGACTACCACAGGACTGGTAAAATCATTTTCACAGATGCTATTACAGTAACCTTGACGATTTTATTGATGGTGTACTGTAGGTACTGTAAGACCAGGATGTTTTGGATGGGTTTAAGAATAGTAAGAAATTGTACCGTTTTGTAAGGTGGTACAAGTGTATTGAACACCCGGCACAGTCCACCAAGCAAGGAAATGCCAAAGGAAGTGAAAGGAAGTATGTTCGCTCATCTCGACAGAAATACACCAGGCCGGCGAAGGCGGAAATTGTTGGACGATCTTAATTAAGGTGTAGATCTAATTTTGATCTAAGATTGGGATTGTGACGGAATGCTGAGCGTCATAGGAACTTGGGTATCAGTCTGTCCTATCTTTGTACAAGGATGTGTGTTGAAATACACAGTACTTCGGTGTTGTTTTCTTGTTATTATTCCTGCCAGTTTGTAGATTGTTTTCCATTCGAATAGCTAAATATAATAAAATTATATTGTATATTTTTTTTAGACCTTATATCGGAACAGGTAGACCACTAATTGAAATGCTACAGAATGAAAATAACTTGGGAGGTCGCACAGATGGACAATGGCCATAAGACATGAGATGAGATAAGAAAAAATCGAACAAGAGGTCAGAGGGACTTAATACAAAAATGAGAAACCCTACCGCAGTTTTCAGAATATATCCGAATCAGTGTACTTTAATGGTTGAAATGCTTCTCTGGTCCTAGCTTCAATTCCTGTCATTGGCAGGAATTTTTCTCACAGTCAATACAACTCCCTACTCCTAATCCTCATTATGAAATTTAGGTGACGTAGGACATGTTTATTATGTTTGTCTTATGAAAGTGATTGCCGCTTAGAAAAGTGGTTAAGTTAGATATTGCATACCCTTCGCCCTTGTGCATAAAATTAAATAAAAATTAAATTTATATTATAAAGCAATCTGAGCAAATAGAAACTGAAAAATTTTAATATTAACAATAAATATTGTTCAGATTTTTCTTTAAAAAAATTTATTACCAATTTGATACCTAGGCCTACTATTAACTAAAAAAATAATGAAACAAATGTATTCAAACTAATCCGAGTACAGTATCATCAGCTGTTGTCTGATCCCTGTCTGATTGTTACGATTGACGGCGACAAACTCTCAAGAGCTATTTTAAGAATGGTACGGTCAGACAAATTAACTAAATGAAGATGAACTCTGGCATACATTCAAACTTTTACTACCTATATCTATGGTAAACTGTATTATGTATTCTAGGCCTACTTACCTGGTACACCACAATTCGTAATTAGACATAAAATCCAACAATTAATACGTTCTGTGGCTAGTATTTTTTAATGAGCGATTTAAACCTTTGTAAAGCCGATTTTGACCAATAAACAAACATAATTTTAGGATGGATTTTGACTGTCTTATTTTTCACGGTGAAACTATACTAGTTTTATACTTAATAAAGATACTTATTGTAAATTGTTTTTAATGATTTCTGTACTTAATTGCAATTGGTTTGGCATTGCATATGTGATCAGTTTTAATGGATTGGTTCTATTTACCAAATATAGAGTATTATTGGTATAGAACAGACAGTATCTCTATCATAGGGACTGTGTGTACTTGCCAAGTTTTGGATTAAGCATACTCTTCATGAATCAGAATTTTTAAGTATCAAACAAATGTGACATAACATTCTTTTCCTGCTTTTGTTATATATAATGACCTTAATCATTTTTTTTTGTTTTGGTTGTTCTTGTGCCTGGCTTAATTCTTAATGTGCTTTACAATAATTGACTGATTTACTTAAAATTAAAAATTTGAATGAGAAAAAAAATTCCCCCATCAATTTTCCCAGTATTCTTTACTGATCTTTAAATTGACTGGTAATCAATTAAGGATTTTTTTACTACTATAAACTGTCTATAAATTGATGAAAACTACTTTTTTTTATTCTATTTTTTGTTGGAACCTAATAATTTATTTGATCTTTTCAAATGAGCTATTTATGGAAAAGTAATGAAAAAATACCTTTCATTACTTGTCTATGAAAGATAATACTGTAGTCTAGACCTTTGGATGATGATATTGTTATTTACTGTACAACACTACTGTACTTGATTTTTTGAGAAGCGAGGGAGTTGGCCACTGATACTGTAGAAAGGGGTGGAATCATTTGACCATAGAGGGTGTAAACACTATGTCTACAAACCGCAAATAAGGGCGCAGATGATTATGATGATTTTATTGAGCTATATTCACAGCCATTTTTTCATGAGTGTTTTTTTTCCCATTTCTTAGTGTTTACTGTTAAGTAGGATTTCCCAAGTGTTCAGGTAAGGTTTAATATAAATAGCCAGAGCTTATGATCTCTTTATTTAGGAACTCTTTTGAACTTTATTAGAGTAACTATAAGTGTATCTGTTGAATAGTGGATAATAAAATAGCACTTTCACTTAAAAAATGTCATCCTTGGTATTGTACGGGTCCAAAGGATTTCCTTTAATTGGTACTACAGCATATAGATGACGTTCAACCAGTCAATATGTCAGGATATTTAGTTTTCATAAGGCAGAAGAGATATTGTCATAGCAACAAGAAAACGTTCACATGGAAGTAGTAAATGTTCTTCCCATGCACTTCCTAGCAATTGGGCCAATTTGAGTGTCAGAGTGGTACAACTAGGATTTGAGTGGGCAGCACACTGAGTAGGATCCTGAAACTTGACAAGACATCTGGCTAAACAGATCCTAAAATAACATTTTGACCTGAGTCTAGATGGATCAACAGCTTGGATGATTATGACGTGGTGTAAAATTTAGTATAACTGTGCAACATCGGGAGGCCAAGAGTTGTAGATGGAGAATAATAGATAACCGTAATCCTGGTACCATTCTTTGTTTTTGCTCATAATTTGGTAACTGGTAGTACCAAGGTATTTATATTATTTTTTTTCTAAATAAAAAAAAAAAATTATTAAATTAAATGAATACTTGTGTTATTCCAGGTCAGCTAGTATTAAAAATGATTATTATAGGCATGTACTTTACTGTTTGCTTTTACAATACAAAGTTACCAAGTTGTGAAGATTTTGTTGTCATTATCAAATTACCAACCTCCATGTTAGTAATCTTAAGTTGTTTGCACTGCTACTGCACCATTAAATAATCCTCTTAACAAATAATTGACCTTAAAAATGTTTACAACTAAACGATAGGGATGTACCTGTAAAGTAAACACTGAATGTTTCAATAGCTAATCTCCTATCACATATCTGAATGCATTGCATTTTTACGTGGTGTAACCAACCGAATTGTTTGTATTTCTCCAATACAAGCTTTATCAGGGACATCTACTGGCAAAATGTTTGTTTTAAAACTCTACAGTACACTTTATATTTTTTATAAGAACTAGTAAAATTTTGCCCAGGCTCAGTGTTCTTATTTTTTGGCCAATTTCAGGCTCAAAATGTTCTTAATTTGTTCTTATGTATGGCCATTGAAAAAATGTCCCCAGAAAAAAGACCCCGGTAAAAATGGCCCCAAATGACAAGTAGGTATACACCTCCTGTACTGTATTATAGAGGGTATTACATAGTCACACCTACTATGTACACATAAGATACAGATATATTTTTTGGTTTTTCTAGTTTTTTTAAACAAAAATCTCATTGGACATTTTTTTGTTCTCAATTTTTAAGCAATTTCAGCCTCAGTGTTCTTATAAAATGTGTTCTTATAAAAAAAAAGTGTAGTTAAGGTACACAAAAGCAGTGTTTAAGAATTCAGATAATTTTATTTATAAGAATTGTATGCTTTTTAGCGACTTATTTTCGTCCTATATGTAATAGTATGTTGACTTATTATATATATGTGAGGTCTCACCACGAAATGAGATGCATCGTTGATGAAATCATATTGAGATATTCACCAAAATAGGTCAAAGGCAACATTTTTACAAAATGTTGATTTTAATGTTTTTAAATAACTTGATACTTATTATTTTATAATTGTGTACTTTTTAAGTGAATTTTCTTACTAAAACAGTGTTCTCTTCGCATATTCTGTAATTCTAGTCCTATTATTTGTACAGGTTAGTTTATCTTTGAGGCCAATTTAAGCTTATAATGTGATCTACCAAAATGTAATATTAACTCATTTTTTTTATTTTTTAACGATGAGACTCATTTTGTATTGAGACCTCACATTTTGATATTTGATTTTACAGTGGCGAAAACAGTAATTTGTTGATTAATTTACTTGAATTTTTGAAATTACTTCCTAATTATATAACTATGGAGTAGTTCTATTCCATCAAGCAAAAAACTGAATTTAAGTCTTAATTTGATACTAGTCATTGTACCCTACATATCCTCCTGAGGCAGAGGCGGATCCAGTAGAGGGCACGGGGATCTGCCCCTGTGAGGCAAGACAATGTGTTCACATTGGTTACAGTAGCTCCACCCAGGATCAGAGGGAAGTCGTGCTATCCCCATTTTAAATACGGAAGCAAACAAAGGAAAAAAGTTCCACTGGCTCGTCCTTCCCAGGCCTGCCTATTGGCTAAATAATGCTGCCCTTCACTCTATATCATAGGAACTGTTAAATTGTTGTGAACATTCCTTACCGCATGATTGAGATGATAACGTAGGACATCAGGTCAACTCAAATTATGTGTTATTGATTTATTATGTCCAATTGATGTTTCCCTGAGAGAATATATAAATATATTTAACTTTCAAATTCAGTAGCTAATATTTCATCAGCATCCGTAATAATGAAGATGCACAAAATTCATAACTGTGGGTATTGTAGAAAAATTATTGAACTTCTAACATTAAATAAATGATTTCTTCAATAGCAAAATTTGAGTGATATCATTTTCAATTTTTACACCATTTTGCATTTTTTCTTTGAATCTCTTCACAGTCATATACCAGATTCTCCACCGGACTCGGGGTCGGAGCCTTACTCACCTCCGGAACAGAAGCCGGTGATTGCAGGTCAGCTACCAACGGATGCGAACATGTTCCGACCTAGTGCACCAAACGGTGTTCACGTTCCGGCAATGATAAATGGGCAGGTTCCCGCAGAAACAGCATCATGTAGTTCAGCTGTCGTATCGCAGCAGTTGGTTAATTTTATGCAGAATAACCCCAGCACCCCGATTTTGGCAAATCTAACATCAACGGAGGCACAGCAACAACCACCACCTCTTCCTAGGAAAGATAGGTTTGTGAAGTTTACTTCCATTGCCTCAACCTCGATTCCTAATGTATTCACAGTGACAACTTTTTTGTTGGTTAGCCCTCAGTTGTGTGAAATCTGGCATGATTCCTGCAAATTCTATCTTTTCCCCTCAAATCACAACAACAGCCAATCATATTGACTGTTGCAAAATCATTGATAATAGATCAAAGAAAGCTAATGATAGGCTAGCTAATTACCATAGATTACATACGCAACTATCTTTCAACTTGCTACTGAACTAAAAGTTGAACACAACCCCGGATATAGAAACATGAGCCTTGACTGAAAGTGCCAAGGGCATTTTAATTGATTATTTCCATTTGGTTCCATATTTAGCAAAGTTTAAAAAAAAATACTATAGGCCTATAGAATACCACAGTCATGTCGTCACGATGCCAGGTGGCGCTCTCCGTTGTCAACAAACGTTGGTTACCATTCATTATGCGTGAATGACTTTGTAGGCTTTCTGGAATAGGCATTTTGAAATCTAATATTTTGCCATCAAAATGTACTAAAAACACAAAAGCTCGCATTATACTGTATTTAGTTATCGAACACACATTTAATCATTAATTAAAATTTACAAAGAAAAAGTAAGATACAACATCTTAATAATTACGTTGAAATTGGGATCAATGGTTTGTCAGTGGAGAAAATGGCGCCCGGTTGAACACTTTTTGCAACGTTAGCAACGGAGTAGTATCACACGATATCGTGATGTAACACTGTAGTACTCTATAATTTTGTTTTAAGTGCATTGAAAAGTTGCTTGGTGTTTAACATTCCACTTCCAATGTATTAAAGCCTATGTTACTTGCAGTGTGAGCTTTGAATATATCGTACATTCTACAATCGAGGAAGTACGTCAACCACTTCCATCAAATTCTCATATGACTCAAAAGTTGTATCATATTATAGGTTGAATGAGTCGCGTTTAAATTCAGTCAGATTTATATTTTTTAAAGACACTTGTGATTCATGCTTTTAATACTTGAAGATGCTGAAATCACTTGGGATGCACTATGTGATATTTGTCTACATATGCCCTTTATTTCGTCTGTTAACTCATCATCTTCTTGAATATCAATCTGAATAAATTTCTTAATGAAGGGCATGGTCAGTTGATTATTAACATCAGAATCATTATTTTCAGGGCTGGAAAAAGTGCGCGACCGGCAGTTAGAGGCATTGACCTTTAACCCGGAGGCATTTTAGGGAAAAAAAGTAATTTTTTTTTTTTTAATGTAGCAAATTAATGCATGATAAAATTTAATATTTTTGCTTGCTCCAAATCACTAAATGCACTACTATTTCACTATAATAGTGTAAAGATAACATTTCGTCCTGGAGCCATTTGATCAAGATAATTTTCATGGGTGAAGGCTCAGAAATATTTTTTCCAGGCCTGATTATTTTTATGTCAATTGTTTTGTTTGTGTTATTGTAAAATAAAGCTTACTTTCATGGTGAACAAATTGCTGATGGTTTTTTTTTTAATTTAAAAAAAAATAAATGAAAAATACTTAAAGTGCCTCTGCCACCTATTCTGACAATTTTTATAAACTACAGCGTGTTTATATTTATAAATATATTATAAACACAAGTGTTGGTCATATATTACGAATAAAATTGTTTTTGTACGAAAAAATGAGTTTAAAGTGTCATTTTTGAAAGACCTTAGAAACAACGAGGTCACTCAATGACGTCATTGGTGACCGACTTTGCCAAACTTCATCCAAGCGCGAAATCAAAACAAACACTGCGACGGTGGCCTAGTGGAGGAAGAAGAGCCCCAACTTCTACCCTAGGCTGTTAGTATATTACAGTTTCCCGAGTTTTACACAATATGCCAGTAAATTGTGTTGTAGGGGGTTATAAGTGCACACGAAGTAAATGTTTTACGTTACCTAAAGATAGTAAAAAGACGTTGTTGAGTTAACTTTGTCAAATTTACAATTCAAATTTTCATGGGCTGGATGAACACAAGTCAAAAGAATTCGTGTGCCTCACTTCGTGGATGATCACTTCATGTGAATTCAAAACGACGTTGGGTTTGCAATGCAAACTAGGCCTAGCTCTGAGAGATCTTACAGCAAATAAAACAACAAGTAGCCTATGTTAAGTACCGGGTTTCGGCGTCCACGCATTACTTGTTTACTAGTATCCCAAGAGTCTTCTACAGTCTATATAAGGCTGCCCTAATCAATGATGGGGATGAGGTGGTCTTAACTTCCCTGGCCCCTCTAGCCTATAGGCCAAGACCTAATTCAAATTCCCAGTTGCAGTTGTTAATTTACACGTGCTGCCATTTTTTTTCTGTTTTGATTAGTAGTAGGGCCTAGGCTAGGTCTAGCCTGGTGGGCCTATGACTGTAATTCAATAAGTAATATCACTTACAGGTACCTCTCATTGTTTACGGCTGAACATCTTTTAAACAAATCTTGCAAAAGTCCGTAGGCGTTGACCTACTAGGCCTATAGTACCGTATTTAGCGTAGGTTGTTTGTTTTTTGGTTTTAATTGCCCTTTTTACTGTCTTCTGGTTAGGCCTAGTCCTATGCAGCAAGCAAAATAAAAAATCACATCCCATTTTTTGGTTGATGATAAAGCAATCTTGATTTTGCGGCGGTTTCGGTAAAAGATGCTGAAGGCCAGGGAGATCGAAAATTTCGCCTTCATGGTTCAAGTTTCTACAAAGGCCTATAGCTATATCTACCTAGGCATATCCATGTCTTTGTCCTTGCGCTATGAATGACTGAATAAAAAATACGTTTTTCTAGCTAGCGCTTTATTACAAAATTATAACTTTTGTTTGTTACGCGCGCACATTCTGTCACATGTATAAAACGCGCGAACACTCTTCCTCTCCATTTTTAATACACATGAACTATTTATTTATGATGGAAGAATAAGGATTTATGATATACCGTACGTACAGTACCTACACCTAAAAAAACAGAACATCGGATTTTTCCATTCCAAAGTGAGTAACGACAAAAGAGACAATTGTGAAGGTTTACGACTTTAAATTTATTGTGATGTTTCTATGCACGTTGAGACCAAGTCGGCTATGCTAGCCTATGTAGGGCCTAGGCATGTCTAAAATATATTACTTAGGCCTAGGCCTACAACTAAATGTTATAAGCATGGAGGAATTAGTTTTATAACACGTTACAAAACAACGATAATTCAACAAACAACACATACCTACATGAATGTAGGTACTGTTGTAGTTGTAGTCTAGGCCTAACAGTAATGTATTTATAATTCATTGAGAATTCACCTCGTTTACTGTACCTTATTTATTTACTCGCGAAAGGCCACCTTATAAGTTATTATTAAGTGTGTTCTGTGTTTTTTGTTTTAGGTGTAGGTACTGTACGTACGGTATCATAAATCCTTATTCTTCCATCATAAATAAATAGTTCATGTGTATTAAAAATGGATAGGAAGAGTGTTCGCGCGTTTTATACATGTGACAGTATGTGCGCGCGTAACAAACAAAAGTTATAATTTTGTAATAAAGCGCTAGCTAGAAAAACGTATTTTTATTCAGTCATTCATAGCGCAAGGACAAAGACATGGATATGCCTAGGCCTAGGTAGATATAGGCCTTTGTAGAAACTTGAAACATGAAGGCGAAATTTTCGATCTCCCTGGCCTTCAGCCTCTTTTACCGAAACCGCCGCAAAATCAAGATTGCTTTTTCATCAACCAAAAAATGGGATGTGATTTTTTTTTGCTTGCTGCATAGGACTAGGCCTAGCCAGAAGACCGTCAAAAGGGCAATTAAAACCCAAAAACAAACAACTTACGCTAAATACGGTAAAGCCTAGTAGGTCAACGCCTACGGACTTTTGCAAGATTTGTTTAAAAGATGTTCAGCCGTAAACAATGAGAGGTACCTGTAAGTGATATTACTTATTGAATTACAGTCATATGCCCACCAGGCTAGACCTAGCCTAGGCCCTACTACTAATAATCAAAACAGAAAAAAAAATGGCGGCACGTGTAAATTAATAACTGCAACTGGGAATTTGAATTAGGTCTTGGCCTATAGGCTAGAGGGGCCAGGGAAGTTAAGACCACCTCATCCCCATCAATAATTAGGGCAGCCTTGTAGACTGTAGAAGACTCTTGGGATACAAGTAAACAAGTAATGCGAGGATGCCGAAACCCGGTACTTAGCATAGGCTACTTGTTGTTTTATTTGCCGTAAGATCTCTCAGAGCTAGGCCTAGTTTGCATTGCAAACCCAATGTCGTTTTGAATCCACATGAAGTGATCATCCACGAAGTGAGCACACGAATTCTTTTGACTTGTGCTCATCCAGCCCATGAAAATTTGAATTGTAAAATTGACAAAGTTAACTAAACAACGTCTTTTTACTATCTTTAGGTAACTTAAAACATTTACTTCGTGTGCACTTATAACCCCCTACAACACAATTTACTGGCATATTGTGTAAAACTCGGGAAACTGTAATATACTAACAGCCTAGTAGGGTAGAAGTTGGGGCTTTTCTTCCTCCACTAGGCCACCGTCGCAGTGTTTGTTTTGATTTCGCGCTTGGATGAAGTTTGGCAAAGTCGGTCACCAATGATTTAAAAAAAAATAAATGAAAAATACTTAATTATTCAGCAGGAAATTCAATGGTCATGGCATATATATAAACAATGTACAATGCATAAAAAATAAAAAATAATTAAAAAGTATATAGTTATTTTGTTTCATTTAGGTTATTATATAAATATTACCATTATTTTCATTCTGCTGTGCCTCTTTTAATTAATCATAATCATATTTCATATCATTTTATAAATGAAAATTTCTGATAATTAGACCTTGTGCTTAATGAGTCATATAATTGCCGTTTCAGTTTGGTTACTCATCAAGCAAAGAAAAGAAAGCATTCTATAACCCCAGACAACTCCATGAAGAGAGGTATGCTGCCCCTGCCTAATATGATGCAGATTAAACAGGAACCAGGTAAAATGAGAATTAGATGGAAAATATTAAGAAGAGGGGGAATAAGACATGGATTTGGGAATGATTGTTTGGGAAGAGTTAATGAGACAGAATTGGGAGGAGTTACATAGGTGATGGGATAGTATGTAATTTAAATAGGGATGAGATTATGCAAAAAACTTAAAGAGATGACTGATGGGTGGGAAGAGATAAGAATAGAATAAAAAGGTCTTTATAGAATATATTATGTTATTCTATATGACAACAAGTAAACAAATACATCAAGATGGGGAATACAAGATGAATAAAATTATTGTGATATATATTTCCACATACACTTTATCAATGTTTCATTCCATAGCTGCTGTCCATGTGCTTTAGCTGGATGGCTAAAAAACAAGTTAGAATAGCACTCTATCTTCCGGGGAAGATATTTGAACTGTCAGTCCAGTGTGCAATATGGCCCTTGTGCACATTTTAAAACTATTAATCCATGTTGACAATCAAATTGAAAAATGTAAACATCCTGATGTTTTCATTGCAGTGATTAGCTGAGATGTAGCACATGACATGATTCACATTATAAACACATCCATCAACCAGATTTCTAGCCTAGTCTATGTACACAATAATAATCATCAGATATAAAGTGGAATTGAGTAGCAGGGCCCTGGGTTCAGTTCTGTGACAGTAGGTCACTTCACACCACTCCCTAAGGTTCATTATGTGACTTAGTTTATAAAGCATTACTAGGCCCTACTGAATGGCTTACTTAGTATATAATGAAGAAAAAATTAAATTAATGGATTGTTATATTTTGTATATAATACAGTACCTATAATTATTATGGCCTTTGCAGAGGTTTATTTTGGGTTAAGTTCTGTTATTATTTGTTTTGACTCAAGCATATAGGGACTGTTGTGTAACACTATATAAATATAAACTAGAATACCTGTAGTCTAGTAGTGAATTATTTCTTATTCTGTGCTTTGGTATAATTCAAGGAAATTATGAACCGTACTTGACTTTCATTTCATTTTGAATTTGTTTAGCGATGTGTAAATAGATTATTTTGATACCGACAATACAGACATCACCATAGTACACCGTGTAATATTGATCTTGCTTTTATTCTACCATGTATTGTTGAGCATGCATTACTCATCCTGATCGAACACTTATACTAGACCCGCCTCTCTGCAAATACAAATGTGTGTCCACTCAAATAACCATAACAAAGAATTTATGTAATTCATTTTTTTAGTCTGATATACAATAGTTAGTGGAATAAAAATTTTTTTCAAATAACTTTTTCTTTTATGATTTAGGTTTTTTAAAAATGTATAGGCCTACTGTTTTCCTTTTAAAGATATATTGTCTGGTAATCATGTAATTATTCTTTTGTGGTGCCTGGTTTTTTGTTGTCTCTGATATTAACATAGTTTATTGATTACTTATTGTCTACTTGGAATGTCTTTTATCTGTTGATTGATTGGAAATTCAATTAAAAATGGATCAGAGGACTTGCTTTAATATACAGATCATAAACTAAATAATTGTGAGAGGGCCTTTTCAGATCTGTTTTTGAGAAAAAGGAAAAGAGATTTAAAGTCAGTGGAGACCTTGCAAAGGATTAAGCAGCCTGGAATTCAATCACTAACCCATGCTAGCATGCAAAAATGGACGTTAAACCCAGTATTGTGATGTTGATCATTTGTTGTAAAAATAATAGTGATGGTTGCGGCGACAGTGATGACGATATCAATAAGATATAAAAATATAATATCAATGTTCATTTTTGAGTGGGTAATAATACCAAATTATGGTTTTGAATTAAATAACTTTGTAGCTAGGTAGCTGGATTAAATTTCAAGATAAACATTGCTCTCGCTCTAGTTGATTTGAATGTATTTAAGGTGAAGAAGAAAATGACCTTGCTCTCATCCAACCATTAATAATCATTTTTTCCTTGTTGAAGAATGATTGAAGTGTACAGGAAGTTGGAAAATGATGTAATAGCATTGGCGTTCATGCCATTAGAAAGTGCTTTCTATACAGGCCATTCACGGTCGTTCCCTTGCATAAATTTGAGCGCACCTAAGCCTAGTAATATTCCTTTGAATTTTGTTTATACATTTATCTTTGTTTTACCC